AAAAAAAAAAACTCCATAACTTATTATTTTCTAGAATTACGTTAGCAGAAATTTTTTTAATTAATAATTACTAGTAAGCAAAAATTCAGAACGTAGCATTAATAAATATATTTTTAGTAGTCTTAGATATATCTTTTACATTGAGTTGGTTTTAAATATTAAAATCTTTATAGCTATTTGGCCAAATATAGAGGATGATTGGTTAAACTGTAGCTGTAGAAATTAGTCTGTAAAATTTGTTAATTTAGCTGTAAGAGATGTAGCTTCCAAATATATTGCTACAACAACATATTTTCTACGGCCAAAAAGATGTAGCTTTAGAAAATAAGGATTTTACAACCATTTTTTAATTTTTTATTGTAGCTTTAAAAAATGAGATAAAGCATGACTGGTGATTTAAATGTTGTAGATAAAAATTAAAGTTAAAGTCAGCACTTATAACCCAACCAATCACCCCTATAGTTCTTTTGGTAGGTTTGGTGTGTTTTAGTTTTAAAATTCTGGTCTAAATTTTACGTTAGTTTAGCAGAAAACTCCTTTTAATAATAATTATTAGTAAAGAAAATTCAGAGCACACGCTAAATGTATTTTTCATTAGTCGACAAAAAGAAATGTACTTTTAATATATGTATTTTAATTACACTTAATAGTTCTTTTGTAAGGAAATATAAATAAATCACTATCAACAAATCGTTGACTTTCATTCATCATCTCTATAACAATTTGGCCAAAGTCTAATTAGTTTGGTAGGTAGGTGCATGTTTTCAAAAATAGATCATGATTAAATATTTAAATTTAAAAAACACAAAAGACAATAGTATCTGACGTGGCGGAGTGTTATATCTGACGTGTACAGGTCTTCATCAACGCGGGAATAATGCTCGGCTACGTATCAAACCTCGCCTTCTCAAATTTCCCTCTGAAACTCGGCTGGAGATTCATGCTCGGCATCGGAGCCGTACCTTCCGTCATACTCGCCATCGGCGTCCTCGCCATGCCCGAGTCACCACGTTGGCTCGTCATGCAAGGCCGTCTCGGCGAAGCCAAACGCGTCCTCGATAAAACCTCCGACTCACCAGCCGAAGCCTCTCTCCGCCTCGAAGACATCAAAGAAGCCGCGGGAATCCCCGCTGACTGCCACGACGACGTCGTCCAGGTGTCGAGGAGGAACAGCCACGGAGAAGGAGTGTGGAAGGAGCTTCTGATCCGTCCCACTCCAGCCGTGCGTCGCGTCATGATCGCAGCGATCGGGATCCATTTCTTCCAGCAAGCTTCCGGCATCGACGCGGTGGTTCTCTTCTCTCCGAGGATCTTCAAAACCGCGGGGCTCGAAACGGACCACGAGCAGCTTCTAGCGACCGTAGCGGTAGGGATTGTAAAAACATCGTTTATACTTGTCGCCACTTTCTTACTAGACCGTGTCGGAAGACGACCGTTGCTTCTAACTAGTGTCGGAGGGATGGTTCTGTCTTTAGCGGTGTTAGGGACATCTCTAACGGTTATAGACCAGTCAGACAAGAAAGTGATGTGGGCTGTGGTGTTGAGCATCGCTACGGTGATGACTTACGTGGCTACGTTTTCGATAGGAGCTGGACCGATCACGTGGGTTTACAGCTCGGAGATATTCCCGTTGCGGCTGAGGTCGCAGGGGTCGAGCATGGGAGTGGTGGTGAATAGAGTGACGAGCGGTGTGATATCGATGACGTTTTTGCCGATGTCGGAAGGGATGACGACGGGAGGAGCGTTTTATTTGTTCGGAGGGATTGCGACGGTGGCTTGGGTGTTTTTCTATACTTTCTTGCCGGAGACGCAAGGGAGGATGCTTGAGGATATGGATGAGCTTTTTAGTGGCTTTAGGTGGAGAGATTCCAAGAACAAGAACGCAAGTTCGAATCCGGAGGTTGAGATTGGATTAAACAAACAGTGAGCTTCTTTTTTAAGAATTTTGGAAGGGAATGTGGCATACAAAAGTTGTATAAATTTGATCAGTTATGAATCTTGAATGAAATAATAAGAGTTTTGAAACCACTAATCTTATTTCATAAGAATAATTGTTTTAGATAAAAACACAAATACTAAAAATATATTATTTATAAGTATTATAAAATATAAAAATAAAATACATTTCAACATAATATACATAATAAAAACGTTGTAAATTTTAATTGGTTAAACAGTACCAATGAAATACAAATCAAATGGTTTTGAAGGCTTATTTTACACACAAAAGAACAAATTTACACCATGTAACAAATATTAATATTAATGTCTTTAGAGAGATAACTGGTGAAGTCGACAAAAGAAAAAAGAAAGAGATAAAAGGTGGATAGAAGTAATGGGAGGAAAGACCAAACCCCACTGTTGAACTCAAATGCATTCTTCTCGGAGAGAGATAAACTCTTTAGCATTCACACCCTGAAGATCTTGGTTGATTGCTTGTCCCCACATCGATTGTGTCTGGCAAGTATCTAAAGAAAGAAAAAAAAGACAAAAGGAGAACGTTGAGACCAAACTCGTCGTGACTTTAAAACATGTATGGGAAATGTTTTGAAACTTACAGCTCTTCCTCATCTCCGGTCTTAAGCGCGTTCTGGGCAATGCATTGGAAAGCTTCCTCAACATTGGTGCCTTCCTTAGCAGAGGTCTCAAAGTAGGGAATGTTTCCCTTTGAAGCACACCAAGCTTTAGCCTTTTTCTCTGAAACCTGTGTGTGATCAATGTGTGGACGTTAATGTTGCATCTCAATGGAACATTAAAGTAGGCACATGATTATACATACCACTCTGCTGTTTCCACCATCCACGTCGACCTTGTTTCCGATAAGAACAAACGGAAAATTCTCTGGATCTGATGGACTCGCCTATAAGGGATAAAATACACTATGCGTTACTACTGATCTGCCTACTATGAAAAAAAATTGTTTACAGAGGGGTGAAAACAAGGATGAGTTTTTGTACCTGGATGAGAAACTCTTCTCGCCAGTTGTTCAGGTCTTCAAATGATTTCATGGAGTTGACATCATAGACAAGAACACAGCAATCAGCACCTCGGTAGAAAGCTACACCAAGGCTCTGAAACCTTTCCTGTCCAGCTGTATCCCAGATCTGTAATAATAACTCACCCATCGACAGAAACAAGTGAGAGCTTTGTTCAAGCAAAGAGGGTAGCTCACACAACGTAAATGCTTGACCACTGTGGAATGAGACACTATATTTGGGACAACTTAGAGCTATCCTTGTTTGATAGTTATCAAGAAGAGCTAGCTACTAAGAACCACATGAAAATATTCTGGTGACTTAATCTCATTCAAGTAATTTACATAACAGACAACCTCCAGACTTCTCCCTAACAACGCAAAATAACTTCCTGACACAAGTTACAACCACAAAACTTTGTCAATATAGGTTGCATGATTCACTAACAAGGTAAGTCAGAAAGTTTCCTTATTAGCTAGCGTTTACTAAGCTAACCTCCTCTCATGGTCATAAACTTCCTATTGAATACAAATACACAGCACCATTGTGGTAAGCACACTCAGTTTACTTGAACAACAAAAGAGGTAATTCACTGATAGAGGCACTTGTCGTAAGAACCTGTAAAGTGAAAAGACGATCTTCAAACTGGACTTCCTTAGTCAAGAAGTCAGCTCCAATGGTGGCCTTGTACTGGTTGCTGAACTTTTTGTTAACATATCTGAAGTTATGTTGTTAAACCAAAACAATAGCTCTAAAAGAAAAATATGTTTCTTAACAAAAGTAGAAAACTAGTACAAGATATACTTGTTAGTTATTCTTCAAACAAAAGTTAGGATACTGATTCATCAAAGAGGTTTTCCCCACCCTGCAAAATAACACAAGTTAGAGAGGAGTCCAAGTTAGTTACACTCAAATAAACATAACAAGACACCAAGTTTCATGTGGTAAAAAAAATGAGAGGCAGGAAACAACAGCGAAATTAAACTGAAGACTAAAATCATGTTAAAGTAAAGTCAAGTAGCCAGAGTTAGTCTACGGTTTGAGACTATGGGTCAAGTCAAGTAAAGTTTCCAAATTTAGCAAAAAAATTAACAGTCTTTGATATATAAATGATCAACAATACATATGTAAAAAATCACACACTTAACATCACCGGATCAATCAAACACATATAATAAAACACATTAGCGAACAAAATCATATCAGTATCTAAAGGAACTAGACAGAATCATGCTTAAATCTCAAACACAAGACAACAATTACTCATCGGAAAACACCAAATCACAAGTCTAGAACCCAAACAAACATGGAAATTAAAAAAAAGAGAGAGTGTAAAGGAGAAAGGAAACCCGCTATCGCCGAGGATGATGACTTTGAGGAGGGTACGTCTCCGGGAAGGCATCGGAATCGTGAAGAGAGATAGAGATTATACGATCCTCTGCTGTTTTTACTTTCTATCTTTGCCCTTGAAGAGTCTATGAAGCTGTTCCTGATCTGTATTGTTAGGCGACTATTTATTTTTTTTGTCTTCATCGTTTACAACAGAATATCCTGCTAAAAGTTCCTCGTTTGTTTTAATTATATGTATATCTATAATAAAGTTTGGCATAGTCAACAAGAAGCTCTCGTAGCTCAGTTGGTTAGAGCACCCGTTTAGTAAGCGGGAGGTCTTGAGTTCAACTCTCAACGAAAGCAATCATCTGTTTTTTAACCTTAATTCCTTTTTCTTTACCTGTTTTCGTTCTTTTGGTAAACAAATTATTTTACTTTTTAAGCACATCGCGTTCTTCACTGTCTTTTTCTTTTCTTTTCAAATTTAGTTGAAGTTTGCATTATTGCATGGTTGTATTAATACCCAAATATAGACCCTACAAAATAAGAAATCAGAAATAAACAAGTTGAAAAAGCACTCTTAAAAATAGAAATTGTGTTTCTCTATGTCCAACCCCTCTCTCTCACTCTTAAGAAAATCTTAAGGAGAGAGAGCTTCGGAATAAATAAAAGAAAGAAGCTCCTAAAGATATTATGGCGGAGGGGCAGTCCCCGGAGAATTCACCTCCGTCCCCTACACCTCCTCCTCCTTCCTCCCCGGACAGCACTCAACAGCAATCTCCTCCACCTCCTAACTCCTCCTCTCCTTCACCTTCACCACCAGCTCCTCCTCCTCCTCCGCCGGATAGTTCCTCCTCCTCTCCTCCTCCACCGCCTTCTTCAGACTCACAACCTCCACCATCTCCACAACAAGGAAACAACGACAACAACAATGGTGGAAACAATGACAACAACAACAACAACAACAACGATGGTAATAACAACAATGGTAATAACAACAATGACGGCAACAATGGTAATAATAATAACAACGGCGGAGGAAGCAACAATCATTCGCCTTCACCTCCTTCCAGAAACTCCGACCATAACTCTCCTTCCCCACCGAGATCTCTAGCTCCGCCTAGATCAAGCGGTGGTGGCTCTAACTCCTCACGTAACGATACACCAAACACAGCTGCTATCATAGGAATTGCGGCTGGTGCTGGATTGTTGCTTCTTGTTATGATCTTGTTCTGCGTCTGTTGCTGTCGCAAGAAGAAAAAGAAGAATCAAATGCCGTACTACGCAAGCAATGGTTACGCCACAGGCAAAGGTAACGTAACACACCAACATTAACCCTAAACCTAAACCAGTTTTTGTTTTATAACAATTTCTTGTGCACCACGATAAATTAGTAACCTAATTCAAATAATACTTTTTACCTTCAAACCACATTTTAAAGTTTTTGAGTTTCATAATCTTTGGCCTAGCAGAGGTTTGATTTGTGAATATTTTGTTAATTGTGGAAAATCCCATTAGTGTTCTTGTTATCCAAGAAACAAGGTTAAACAAACACCGTACTACGCAAGCAAATGGTTTCGCCACAGGAAAGGTAAAGGATAAATGGTCAAACACCAAGTCACCAACCTTAACCCTAAGGCTAACCTAGTTACCGTTTTAGAACTATTCTTGTGTGTCAAGATACCTGAATTAATAACCTAACTCAATGAAATCTTCTAACCTTCAAACCACATTTCAAATTTTTGGAGTTTCATAATCTTTTGACCAAGCAGATGTTTCTGAATATTTTTACATATTGTGAAAACTCTCCATTACTTGTTATCCAAGACACAAGGGTAAACAAAGTCTCTGTTTTATTGATAGGTGATCAATACCAACAACAGCAACAACAATACAATAACCAAAACGATCACGTAATGAACATGTCTCATCAACAACCTGGATCAAACAATAACATTAACTGGATGAATTCACCGCCTCCACCACCACCGCCGGTTTCAGGTGGTGTAAACACCGGAAACAGCAGCGAAATTTACTCTGGTCCATATGGTCCGGCCCTACCACCACCTCACCCTTCGGTGGCTCTAGGTTTCAACCAGAGCACATTCACCTACGACGAGCTAGCTGCAGCAACTCAAAACTTCTCTCAAGCAAGACTGTTAGGGCAAGGTGGGTTCGGGTATGTTCACAAGGGAATACTTCCCAATGGGAAAGAGATCGCTGTGAAGAGTCTTAAAGCAGGAAGTGGACAAGGAGAACGCGAGTTCCAGGCTGAGGTTGACATCATTAGTCGAGTTCATCATCGGTTTCTTGTGTCTCTTGTTGGTTATTGTATTGCAGAACAGAAGATGTTGTTGGTTTATGAGTTCTTACCTAATGACACACTTGAGTTTCATCTCCATGGTAAAAGTGGAAAGGTTCTTGATTGGCCTACAAGGCTCAGGATTGCTTTGGGATCAGCTAAAGGACTTGCTTACTTACATGAAGATTGTGAGTCAACAACATTCCTCAATCCTATTGAGATTTAACTAAAGATGTTATTAAACTTTATTTTCTTGAATTTGTTGTAATCAGGCCATCCAAAAATCATTCATAGAGACATCAAAGCTTCAAACATTCTTCTTGATGAATCCTTTGAAGCCAAGGTACGTTTGCTTTCACAATGCTTTCATATTCTTTTCATATGTGTTTATAACTGGACTGGCTTATTATACCTTTTAGGTTGCAGACTTTGGTTTAGCGAAGCTATCTCAGGACAATGTTACACATGTGTCCACTCGTATCATGGGAACATTCGGGTAATAAAGAACTTGAAAAACTAGCTGATCAATGAAAGTAGTTCTTGATTTCTAATCAAGAATCTCTCTTATTGTGGATCAGGTACTTGGCTCCAGAGTATGCAGCAAGCGGGAAACTAACAGACAGATCAGATGTTTTCTCCTTTGGAGTGATGCTTCTTGAGCTCATAACCGGACGCCGACCCGTTGATCTCACTGGTGAAATGGAAGACAGCTTGGTCGATTGGGTCAGTACCATACTACCATATATATCTAACCGGGAAAATGGCCTATTATGACCGTTATAATTGTTAGGGCCATAATAGGCCATTTCCCCATATATAATCATCACAAAAGTATTTCCTCTGTTATAATCATTGTGGCCTAATGAAGAAAACAATGTTACTTTCTTATCACAGGCAAGACCCTTATGCTTAAACGCAGCTGAGGACGGAGACTACAGTGAGCTAGTTGATCCAAGGCTCGAGAACCAGTACGAGCCTTATGAGATGGCAAGGATGGTGGCTTGTGCCGCTGCAGCCGTTAGACATTCAGCTAGACGCAGGCCTAAGATGAGCCAAGTAAGTCTAATTATGCAAACATGAGTCATATCACTAATGAGTCATATCCTTCTTTACTGAGAGTTGGTCAATGATTATAACCAGATTGTTCGGGCTCTGGAGGGAGATGCGTCGCTGGACGATCTAAATGAAGTGAAAACTGGACAGAGAGGATCAAGCTCGGACTATGACTCAAGCACTTACGGTGCGGATATGAGGAAGATCAGGAAAGTGGCGTTGGATAGCCAAGTGTATGGTGCAAGCAGTGAGTATGGGAACACGAGTGAGTACGGGCTTGACCCTTCTTCCTCGAGCAGCGAGGAGATTCATAAAGGAGGAGCTAAAAACTACAAAACAGCTACGAGCCCAGAGCTTTGATGTAGCTGGTTACATTGCAAACAAATCAACCTTGCTGTGTTTTCTTCCGCTGACATTGTTTTAAAACTCTTGTTTATGTCAGATTCTGACCGTTGCTACATTTGTGTTTGTGTCTGTATGTCTGTCTATTGTTTGTGAAGAAAAATAAAATAAAACTTTTGAATGTGATTTAACCGATTATTAATTGCTAAAATGTCTCTGCTCATCTTTTTCTAACTACAGATTCTGCAGGCGAGACATGAGATGTGAACAACCCGATTTATTAATGCTAAAATGTCTCTGCTCCCAATCACGATTTCATGATGAAGAGATGGAGTAACAGACTTTATAGGCAAATAAAAAAAAAAACAAGTTCATACAATACCGTATATTAACAATGCAAAGAGTATATCAAGCTTCTTCTTCCAAATTTATGAAAGAAATTATAGAAAAATAAAGGCACTCAGAGCTACAAAAACAATGGACTAAAACGCAAAACGAAAGCTGTTTCTTGAACGCAGAGCCAGAGAGTTTGTCACACAGAAGTGCACAGAAACAAATACAAAATGAAACAAACAAATGGTGAAGCAAATAGGATAGAAACAAAAAACGAAACTTTGATCCCATTCATAAAACCCACATCTTCTCCTTGAGATAGAGAACTTAGAAGCATTTTCTGTGAACAATCCCTGGACCTGCCTCATCATACTCAGCCTTTGAGATCCACATCTATTGAAATACCAACCATATAAATAATCAGCTTCTGATCAAATTTACAAAATAAGAAAATGAGAAAAAATGTCAATATTTTTTACCTGCTGGAATGTGCTGAGGGAAGCAAGAATGGAACCACCGATCCAGACACTGTACTTCCTCTCCGGAGGTGCAACCACCTTAATCTTCATGCTGCTTGGTGCAAGTGCTGTGATCTCTTTGCTCATACGGTCTGCAATACCTGAGAACATAGTTGTTCCACCACTGAGCACAATGTTTCCGTACAAGTCCTTCCTGATATCCACGTCACACTTCATGATCGAGTTGTAAGTTGTCTCGTGGATTCCAGCAGCTTCCATTCCCACGAACGATGGCTNACCTTAATCTTCATGCTGCTTGGTGCAAGTGCTGTGATCTCTTTGCTCATACGGTCTGCAATACCTGAGAACATAGTTGTTCCACCACTGAGCACAATGTTTCCGTACAAGTCCTTCCTGATATCCACGTCACACTTCATGATCGAGTTGTAAGTTGTCTCGTGGATTCCAGCAGCTTCCATTCCCACGAACGATGGCTGGAACAGGACTTCTGGGCACCTGAATCTCTCGGCACCGATGGTGATCACTTGTCCGTCGGGTAACTCGTAGTTCTTCTCGATGGAGGAGCTGGTTTTGGAAGTCTCCATCTCCTGCTCGTAGTCGACAGCAACAAAGGAAAGCTTCTCCTTGATGTCTCTTACAATTTCCCGCTCTGCTGTTGTGGTGAACATGTAACCTCTCTCGGTAAGGATCTTCATGAGGTAATCAGTAAGGTCACGTCCAGCAAGGTCAAGACGGAGGATGGCGTGTGGTAGAGAGAAACCCTCGTAGATTGGCACAGTGTGAGACACACCATCACCAGAATCCAGCACAATACCTGTTCAAAGGAGTGATAATTAGCACTCAGTGTGAGCATTATTAATGAGTAGACAAAAGAGAGGCTTAAGATGTACTAACCGGTAGTACGACCACTAGCGTACAGGGATAGAACAGCTTGGATAGCGACATACATAGCTGGAGAGTTGAAGGTCTCGAACATGATCTGGGTCATCTTCTCTCTGTTGGCCTTTGGGTTAAGAGGAGCCTCAGTAAGAAGAACCGGGTGCTCTTCAGGAGCAATACGGAGCTCATTGTAGAAAGTGTGATGCCAGATCTTTTCCATATCATCCCAGTTGCTCACAACACCGTGCTCAATTGGGTACTTCAAGGTGAGAATACCTCTCTTGGACTGTGCTTCGTCACCAACGTAAGCATCCTTCTGGTTCATCCCAACCATGACACCATGATGTCTTGGCCTACCAACAACACTGGGGAAAACAGCCCTGGGAGCATCATCTCCGGCAAAACCAGCCTGTANTCCATATCATCCCAGTTGCTCACAACACCGTGCTCAATTGGGTACTTCAAGGTGAGAATACCTCTCTTGGACTGTGCTTCGTCACCAACGTAAGCATCCTTCTGGTTCATCCCAACCATGACACCATGATGTCTTGGCCTACCAACAACACTGGGGAAAACAGCCCTGGGAGCATCATCTCCGGCAAAACCAGCCTGTAAGATGAAGCCATCAAACTTTAGTTTCTAAGGCAAAAGAGAACATTTTTCGTATCTTATAAGAAGATGAAAGGGACAAGTACTAACCTTGACCATACCGGTACCATTGTCACAGACGATGGGTTGAATGTCATCAGCCTCAGCCATTTTTTATAAGCTGCAAAAACATAGAGAAGGATATTGTCAAATGAACATCCATCAAACCAAAATCAAATCACCTTAGAGATTACTGATTTGTGTAGTAATGTATTTGTAAATCCAAACGAAATTCAGTGTTATTGATGGTATGATTTATAAATTAAATCCTAATTCAAATCAGGTGGATTTATTAATGAATTTGGAAGATTTTTTTTTTTTGTTAAAAATAGAAATATTCAAATTCGAGTTAAAACATCAGAGTTTCTAAATATTAGATCTTTGGAAACAGTAAATTTCTTATTTATATATACAAACCAATTAAAATACATAAACCAATAACAGTTTCAGAATAGCTAATCCAGTCAACGTATGAGACTAAAAAATCCAAGAATCGATAAGATAATCTTTCAACTTCAATACAAAACGTGACGGTTCATATAACCTTAACAGTTCAGATCTCTATTCACATCTAACCATCATTTCCAGATTAAACCAAAACAGTAAATCTGAATACGTATCTCTATCACTATTGAGATCTAAGATCACTAATCGAGAGCTAAAGATGATCGGTCAACTGAATTTGATTCTTCGAATTAGTACCTCACAGATCCAAATCTAATCAGTTCCAGATCTCTACGAAGATCATAAACAACATATAGATCCAAACTTTTCTTTACCTTGAACGAGAAAGATCGAGAAGCTGAAAGAAGATATAAGAAACCAAAAAAGATTCCGATCTCTCGCTTTCTCTCTCTTCTCGCCGGAGATAGTCAACGGCCAATGAAACTGTGAGGACAACGAGACGATTCTCAAAGGAAGGAGAAATGTTGCTGAATTTATATAGGCGGCTTATCTTTCTTTCCGTCCTTTCAAATATAAAAATTAAATTAAATAAACATCGACAAGAGACGAATCATTTCGGCCACAGGTAAAGATAACGTGACCTGGCTGTCAGACAGCCTTTACTGTTTAATTCCCCTTTTTAAATTTTAATTAATCATCTCAGCCGTTGGATTAATTTAATGACTAATTCGTGTTTGCTGAGATGGCTTGTTTGTCTGTGATCAAGCCGTAAAATGACAGCTCAATTTTTTTTATACATTGGTAATGATATAACTTAACCGAGTCAATACAGGCAACGAACGATAGTCGTGGTAGGCTTGTTCAATTAAGATTTTCAAAATTTTTTAGCTTACTTAATTCATTTTCTATTAGGTTGAAGCCAAGGTATGCTTATGATTCTGAAACACAATGCTTTCAGATTCTTTTGATATGTGTTTATAACTGGACTGGATTAAATATTCAGGTTAGCGAAGCTATCTCAGGACAATGCTACACATGTGTCCACTCGTATCATGGGAACATTCGGGTAACATAGAACTTGAAAAACTAGCTGATGAAAGTAGTTCTTGATTTCTAATCAAGAATCTCTTATTCTGAATCAGGTACTTGGCTCCAGAGTATGCGGCAAGCGGGAAACTAACAGCAGATCAGATGTTTTTTCCTTTGGAGTGATCTTCTTGAGCTCATAACTGGACGCAGACCCGTTGATCTCACTGGTGAAATGGAAGACAGCTTGGTTGATTGGGTCAGTACCATATATATAATATATAATCATTGTGGCCTAATGAATGATCTAATAAAGAAAACTATGTTACTTTCTTATCACAGGCAGGACCCTTATGCTTAAACGCAGCTGAGGACGGAGACTACAGTGAGCTAGTTGATCCAAGGCTCGAGAACGAGTACGAGCCTTATGAGATGACAAGGATGGTGGCTTGTGCCGCTGCAGCCGTTAGACATTCGGCTAGACGCAGGCCTAAGATGAACCAAGTAAGTCTTTATACATGAATCATATATATATATCACTAATGAGTCCTTCTATCCTCATTCCTAGGCCTGGGCATTCGGATATTCGGTTCGGTTCTGGATAGGAACCATTCGGTTCCGGGTATATTAGATAAGTCATTCTTATACCCAGTAGGTACTTATGATATTTTGGTTCGGTTTCGGCTCGATTCCAGTTCAGTTTTGGTTCGGTTCCGGGTACCCATTTAATATATAAATCAAATATATACATAGAGAATATGTTAGTTAATATGTTAATTTAAATGGACTAGTTTTTACACACTTACATATTAGTCAATCTAACAAGAGTTCGAATCAATAAAATGTTAATTTTATATTTATCATATTTTAATATAGAAATATCATATATCC